ATCACATGTTGAAGGCAAAAAGGTTGGCGGATTACAAACTGTCGTATGACATGTTGATTAACAATTTCTTTAGATATTTTGAAGTTGATCTTACAGGAGAAAGTATAGAAACTCCTAAAGCTTCAAATGAAATTGATGACTCCACTTTGAGAAAAATGGGATAAATCAAAATTGATGATGAATGAATCTCTAAAGTTGATGCTGGGATGTCTGATGATGAGGAAGAAGATGAAGAAGAAGATGAACAAGGTCAAATTCCTTCCTCTCCAGCTGCTGCAGAAGTTCCTGAATCCACCAGTGGTCAAGATTCATATGAGAATATGGAGATCATTCCCTACATGGAGCAACCTAACCGTGGGACTCCTCTGTCTCAATTTGAAAGATCCATGCTTTCTCAAATGGCCACAATGCAGGAAAACCAAAGAAAGCATATGCAAATGACCTATCAACATTTCCAACAGACCAATAATCAGTTCACAAACCTTGGAAACCAGATTGCTGATATTTACACCAAACTGGAAGATATGCAGCTCAACCAAGGAAATTGGGATGAATGAGTTTTTGGACAAAAAGGGTTCCTTCCTATCTTTTTCTTATTTTTTTTCTGCTAATTTTCATTTCTGGTCTGTAATATTAACTGGTTGTAAACCAGGAACAAGCTTTTTAACTTTGCTAAATATAATGTAGGTTTTAAGTTGAATTAAGAGAGCCTAGATAGAATCAAACATAATTCTCTGATAATTTTAGCTGATACAAATTAGATTTAATCGATTAAATCAATTAAAAGAAACACTTACATAAAAAATTCGCATCAAAATAATCGATTAAATTTTGTTTTAATCGATTAAAACCTATATGTCATATGTTTGTATCAACTAAAACTAGTTTACATCAGTTAAATCAGCTAAATAAGGTACTATTCTGATTTTGATGGATCTATTGGCTAAAACTTACTCAATCTAGTTGATATTATCTTAAAACATTTTTCTAATAATCGTTTTTACAAAATCCGCACTAAATTAGACATTTTAGATGCATCAAACATTACTTAGTTTTCAAAACTAGTTGTTTTAATCGATATAAACAAGCTTTAAATCGATTAAAAGCACTTATACAACATTTTTCTTACTGTTTAAATCGATTAAATGTCGATATAATCGATTAAATCAACTTATGTTTCTAATTTTTGAAATTCATCACTGTTTTAATCGATTAAAACATTATTTTAATCGATTAAAACTTGTAACAAGATCATTTTAATCGATTTCGTCCTGTTTTAAATCGATTATTACTCTGGAAAGAAAAGTTAAAGGCTTTAGTTAATGGTTGTTCTTGTAACATGCTATTAAAGCATGGTTCCCTTATCTTTACACGTGTTAATTGTATTCAGTACAAACGTGTTAATGAAGATATGTTTGAATCAACTTTGATTGATCTTTATATGAGTAAAGTATCTTGTTCTTACTGTTTTCAAAAACTAAATTTTGTCAATGTCATGCATTGTATTTGCTTTGTTCCTCTGTTCCCTATTTTTTTTTTTATGAAGTCAAAAGGGGGAGAAATAATTGCTTTGCTTTTATAATTGATTTTCCTTATTTAGGGGGAGTAGCAATATAGGGGGAGAAATGAGAAAATGATTAATTTTTGAATACTCACTAATCTATATATTAAAGTGACTTCTTCTGCAAAGTTATTATTCAAAGAGGTGTTTGTCTTCATCAAATAGGGGGAGACTGAAAGTGATGAAGATCTTGGTGATTTGATGAAGTAAAAAATGAAGTCAAAGGCTACTTTGTGGCAGTCAAAGGTCACTTAGATAAAAGAGTAGTGGGATTAGTGAGTATGCATCTTTGCTTAGGTATAATCATTTTTATTTCTCTGCTGCATGAGGTTTCATCATCTAAAAGATTTTGCAAATGCCTCTAAAAAATGTTTAAACGGTTAAAAACAAAGTATTTTGATAAAAGGTTTTTAATTAGCTATTTTAACTAATAACATATAAGCTTTATCAACTAAAATGTTCTTAACACTTTTGTAACAGGTTTTTAACTGATATGTTTTCAAAATAATCGATTGTTTTCATTAGAAGGATTTTTGAAAACCTTCGCGATATTTTAACCGATATAGAATTGATATAATCGATTAAAATGACTTAGAATATTTTTGAAAAGTGTTCTGATAGAATTTTAATCGATACAAACTCGAAATAATCGATTGAAATAACTTGAAGTGGTTTGAAAGTTGTTCTATCAAGTATTTTAATCGATACAAATGCAAAATAATCGATTAAAACAACTAAAAGGTTTTTCCAGAATGTTTTAATCGATTAAAACATGCTTGCTATCAGTTAAAATAACTTAGAAAGTTTTATGAAATCTTTTGGCAGAATTATAATCGATTAAAATGTGTTTCAATCGATTAAAATAACTAAGTGAACTTTTTTAAAGTGTTTTAATCGATTAAAACATATTGTTATCAGTTAAAATCACTTAGAAAAGTTTATAAGAATGTTTTGCAGTATTTTAATCGATTGAAAGACAAAACAATCATTTAAAACAGTTTGGAAGATTTTTTACAAAGAGTTTTAATTGATATAAACGATGTTGTATCAGTTAAAACAAATCTAGAAAATAATCAAGAACGTTTTAACAGATTAAAAGAAGTTTTAATAGATTAAAACAAGACTTTTAACAGATTAAATAAACCAGCAGTTTTGAAAATCTTCTATATAAACAGTATTGCTTGAACCTTTTAAAACACATCTTTTAACAATCAATCAAGCAATCATAAGTGCTACTTTCAAGAGAGAATCGCGCTAGTTTTTGTGAAGTTCATAGAAGTTCTTTCTTGAGGCAAATTGCATTCTTTTGGAGAAGAAACACATACTGCAGAGTTGCATAAATCTGGTTTGAGCGTTCTAAGTTTCTTTTATTTGATTCTTTACTTTCTTTACTGTATTGTGAGTGCCAGAATTATGGGCACTGGTTTCTGTAGCTGGAATTTGGTTGCAAGGTTGGTCAAGAACTGGAATTTGGTTCTTGGTAAAGGTTTAGGTGCAGGAACTGGAATTGTGGTTCTTGTGGTAGATTGAGTGTGAGATTAAAGTTGTAATCTGTAAAACGTTCAATGTAGTGGAACCCAGCTAGAATTTGGCTGGAAACTAGACGTAGCCCTGGGATTGGGTGAACCAGTATAAACCTTGGTTGTATCTTTCTAAACCTTTCTCTCTTTTAATTCTGTCACTGTTTTTATTTTGATTGCTTGCTGTGTGAATTCAAGAACTGGTCAGAAATCTTAATCTTTGAAATAGATAATCTATAAATTGCGAAAATCTTTCAAAGATCAATTCACCCCCCCTCTTGATCTCAGCCTACATTTGTAACAAAAACCTCATGCAGTAGAGAGATAAAAATGATTATACCTAAGCAGAGATGCAGACTCACTAATCCCACTACCCTTTTATCTAAGTGACCTTTGACTGCCACAAAGTAGCCTTTGACTTCATTTTTTACTTCATCAAATCAAAAAGATCTTTGCCAAAGTAATTCAATAAGATCTTCATCACTTTCACGAAGTAAAACAGGAAATTTATTAAAGATCTCTGCTTTCTGGCTCTGAGCTGGATGCTGAGGACGGTGCTGGCGAAGGGAGTTGGCGGAGTACGCGACGCTGGAATTCCTCTTGACTTTGGATCATGCTGTTTAGGTTCTGGCCTATCTCGTCCACCCTTTGTGTGAGGCCATCTACCCTATGGCTGAGACTTTCTTGCGCTTGCTCATAACCCTCCTTCCTTAGGGACATCTGATCGATCTGTTGGCGTAGGTATTGGAATTGTCTATCCATGTGGGTCCTCTCGTCGCCTATGTGTCGATGCACACTGGTGACGTCATCTCCGTATTGTGTTTGTTACTGCTGGGATCCTGAAGGAATGGGTACCTTGTGTGACTTCGATGCGTCCATATCGCGAATGTTGATCGTCATAGCAAGAAGGGGGTGTAAGACCCATGCGGTCCCCTGCCAAGTGAGCATGCTCATGTTGGCGAGTATCGTCCTGTCTATGAGTTCTGGTTGGAGGGCAGGAGGGATGTCTTCTCCGTCTGTGCATCCCCAATATTCAGCTAGAGGGGTGATGAGGGGGCCTATCATGATGGACCTTGTTAGGCTCGGGTCACAAAGTCTTTTAACGCCTTCAGGAAGAAGTAGTCGAGGTTACATAAGATTCCTTGATGCATGTAGTAGATGGAAAAAAGGTATGCTTGAGTGACCTTGCCCTGGATCTCCTTCCTGCTGTGAAGGGTGTCTGCTAGTAATTTGTGGCCAATGCAGAGAGGAGGGAAGAAGGCGGTCCCTTTTAGGTTGGCTGGAACATGCTGGGAACCGGTGATCTCTTCCCATATTTGACTGGTGGTGAGGGTGGTTAACCTCTCGCAATATGCCCCCCTGTACTCTGCGATTTGGATCTTCGCAGGTTGATGAAATCCCATGAGGACGTTGACCTCATCTAAGACGTTGTTCCGGTAGGCCCCATTCATCCATTATGTGACTGCTTGGATGGGAGGAACCCCAGGAATCATAGACAGTAGGTCTATGAGCGTAACAGAAGCAAGGAATTTCAGCGTGGCAGTGCGGTGGATGCGGGTAGGCGGATCTCTGAGCAGGAAGTCCCACCTTATGCCTTGGATGTATGTCCTTACATCTTGATCCCAACCAAACATAGTTAGGATCCTGAAGTCTAGTCAGAGCATAGGGTGCTAGGCATACTGGCTGATGTTGGCGAATCTAGCCTGGTGTTGCTCTATCGGCTGAGTGGGGATTTGAGGAGTCGGAATGCTCCATATGGGTCCCCGAGAGCGTTTCCGGCGTGTTTACGATTCCCCACGGTCCATAATTCAACCAAATACACTCAAGTATGCAAAGAAAAGTGAAGGAGAAAGAGGGAATGAGAAAATGGGATGCCATGAGTCATTTTGGGCAACTATATTTATAGGCAAAATTTTCAGGGGCAGACGGCCGTCTGGTGTAGGTGGACGGTCGTCTGGCCCCAACGGCTACACCATGGACGACCATCTGGCTGAGGTGGATGGCCGTCTGCCCGCAATTGCTGCCCATGGACGACCATCTGCTCTGAACAAACGGCCATTTGGTCCCAACGGTCACTGGCGGACGTTCATCTGGCTTAAGCGGACAGTCGTCCGCTACACCCCCCTCCTTTTTTCAGAGAGAAAATAGGACCCTATTCATCAACATCAATGCATGTAATGTTCATGATATGCACCCTAAAATGCTATTTCAGTTATTATTTCAGAGGGATTAACTTATGTGCTTTCGTTGGTGAAATGCTTCTGACGTCATATTTAGTTGTACCATTTTTGTCGTTTTTGGATTTGTTGTGATCGAAGAATGACTATTTTTTAGTGTGGAGCACTTGTTATATTGGTATACTCCTCTCTTTCCTCAGAAATGCCAATCCTTTTATTGATTACTATATCTCCATATTTCCCTATTAATTACTAGAATGTCATAACAAAGGGTCAAGAGAAAAGAAGGAAGCGATTTGATTCAAAGGCTTGTGTTTTAGAGGGTTTTTATTTTCAAAACAATGGTATTTGTAAGAATGGTTGGCTAGGGTTAGTTGAAGTGTTTTGGCTAAAACAAACATTTTGTTCACGAGGTTGCATTTTCAACTAATTGTTTAATGGAGCTTATTATGACTGATTGACTTCCCTAGACCACCCTTCGGGTTTTCAATCGCAGTGGTGTCCTTACCCCCTCTTCTTTATTGATTGTGATAAGCAGCTATCGCCGTCGTCAAAAAAGGCGATCGAAGCGACGCGATGGTTTTGCTTCGACTTGCATTTTTTAAAGTGATGTTACAATGTCTTTAGGTTGTCCGATAATCGGGCTAGACCTAAAGGCGAGGTTTTCGAAAAGGGTTCTGGAGTCGCCACCAATGTTTTATCCAGAAACATTGGAAAAGGAAGAAAAAGAAGGCGTTGGTTTAGAAAAACCAACTTTGGCCATTATAACCAAAGTTGGGTAAGGGAGTTAGTTATGTGTACGAAAGGTATTAGTTTCCTTAAGATGCCCCTTTTGGGTTCCCTATGATGGACCGTTTATTTTATAAATAAAAACTCCTAAATTATGCTTTTACCCTTTATTTATTTGCGGAATTTAAAATGTTGACTACATGGCCCTAACAGCTAATGCACAGATAGATATATAAAAAAATGGTAAAAGAGGATAGAAAGTGTAGGAACATTTGAAGCAAGCTTTTGTATTAATATTCTTGGTAAAGAAAGGCGCTTTTGGGCAACCTCCACACTCTACACTGTTGATCGCTCTTTCTCACAACACTAGAAAATGCTCACTTAAGAATACTAAGAAACTCCAGAAATGCTTCGGAGGGATCCTAGGAGAAGAATTTGAGAAAGTTTCAAAAGAGAAAGTGGAAGAATGCTCTGAAAAGGATGAGGTGCCCCCCTTTTATAATAATTTACGCCTGTCAGGTCGGGACTGTCGTCTCGGCTGACAAGGTCGGGACCACCGTCTCGCCAAACGGGACGGCGGCTCACCCTTGGCAAATGGCGAGAAGGTTGTCTCGCCAAACGAGACGGCAGTCTCGCCATTGGAGATTGGCAAGAAGGATGTCTCACCAAACGAGACGACGGTCTCTGCCTTCTAGGTGGAATTTCTTATTTTTCTAGTACAAAAAACCTTCCTACTCTAATATGGGGCCTATTGGTCTATCCTAGGGACCTTTTAGGCCTTGCCCATCTTTGAATCGGAAGTCTTGTGCTCTTTATTTTGAGGTCGGGCAAGATTTGGCGTCTACAGCTGCCCCCCCTTCACGTGACTAGCCGACTGTTGGCCTGTTATGCCAAAAAGATCGACTGGAGGGTGAAAGAGTTAACCCTCTTGCCTGACTATCCTTTGGATGCTCCTTCTTGCGGTAGCTGATCCTCTAGACGAAAAATAGGTGTGTGTGCCTCCGGGATGCTCCTTCTTGCGGTAGCCGACCCCTCGGTTGATGAGTATGAACTTCCATCTAGTTGCTTGTAGCTTTGGGATGCTCCTTCTTGCGGTAGCCGACCCCTCAACTGACAAGTGGTAGAACCTCAAGATACTCCTTCTTACGGTAGCCGACCCTTCAGTTGATGAGTATAAACCCCCATCCGGTTGCTTGTAGCTTTGGGATGCTCCTTCTTGCGGTAGTCGACCCCTCAGCTGACAAGTGGTAGAATCTCAGGATGCTCCTTCTTGCAGTAGCTGACCCCTCATTTGATGAGTATGAACCCCCATCCGGTTGGTAGCGTTTGCAGTCCATCATTGTAGGACTGGATGAGTATAAACCCCTTATCTGCCTGGTAGAGTTTGCAGTCCACCATTGTAGGACTGGATGAGTATAAACCCCTCATTTGGCTGGTAGAGTTTGTAGTCCACCATTGTTGGATTGGATGAGTATGAACCCCTAATCTAGCTGGTGTGGTCCACTTTGTAGGACCGGTTGCGACTTAATGCTCTGGTTCATGCACAGTGGTTTTACCTGTGTGCAGGTCTTTGTCTTTGGGACCTTCCTTGTCCCGAAGTGGTGGTGGCGGATTACTGCTCTAGCTCATGCGCCAGTTTGAAGCCCCCTTTGCAGGATTTGATGAGTACGCACCCCCATCTGGTTTGAAGTCCTCTTTTAAAAGACTTGGTCAGAGTCCCCTTCTGTAAGACTCGATGAGTATACACCCCCATCCGGTTTGAAGTCCTCTTCTGAAAGACTTGGTCGGAGTCCCCTTTTGTAAGACTCGATGAGTATAAACCCCATCCGGTTTGTAAGCTGACGAGCCCCCTTTTGTAAGGCTTTGCCGGTTTGAGGAATCCCCTTTTGTAAGACCCTCTTGATTAGTCCCCTTTTGTAAGACTTGATCTGGTTTCAAACCCCCTTTTGTAAGGCTCTCGCTATTAATAATCTTGAGACTGCAGGATACTTTTTCTGCTAGTTGATCCTGAGGCTAATGAGTATGAACCTGTTGAAACATACAAGGATATGAATGTTGAACATATATGGATATGAAGCTTGTTGATTTTGATGATGATTCAAGAACAAAAGACTTAAAGATTTGAAGACTTGTAATGTTATGTAATAACTCTATTTTTATGATTTTGAGTCTGTAATATTATAGTCCAAGATATCCAGCACATAGTCCACTCTTTAAAGGCTTTAAAAACTCATTTTTATCAAAAGATGTAGGGTCTTTTGATCCGAACCAGTATAAATCGAATGTGTAATTTTCTATCCCTTCTCTATTTACTTTACACAACATTTTAATCGGTGAAATTTGTGGAAAATTTTAAAACCCTAATTTTTGTTTAAGAAACCAATTCACCCCCCCTCTTGGTTTTTGTCCGTAAACGCAAATATTCCGTTGCGCGATTCTAACAAAACCCTCATCTGGTTCTGAGTCCTTTGTTTTGGACCTAAAAATATGTTGGCGTCTTACTGCTTCTGGTCATGTGCCGACTCCATGGGGAGTAATTTTGTTTGAAGATTGTTGTGTTGACTTTTGTTGTAGTCATTCGGTGCATCGGGGATTCTTTGGTTTTTGTCTTTTACAATAGCCATCCAGCTTATTGATTGTCGGGGTTTCTTTGATGAATGCCTTTTAGGTAGGCAGGAATCCACTAGGGATTTGTTAATTTTGACGATGCCTCTTGAGTAGGCGAATGCTTCATTTGAATTGAAGACTTTAGTGTTTTCACTATTTTGCCTCTGAATAGGCTGATATTCCACTGAGGATAGGTCTTCGAAAATGGCCTTTGCGATAGGCTGACTGGGGATAGGTCCCTTTCTCTCTTTTTTGGTTGATTCACGGGGGAATTGGTTGACTTCCTGGGGATCTGATTTTAGTTTGCCCCTGGAGTTTTGACTCCTTGTTAGGTACTGGTGTGAGCTGGTTTTGCGATGCTCTTATTTCATTGGGGAATGGCCATTCTATTTACCTAAAAGTTAGGATTTTAATTTCGCCTTTTTCTGTGATTTATCTTTTTCATCGCGATTTTGAAATCTGGCTTTTTGATGGGGATAATGCGTAAGCCTTTTTACTTTTTAGTCTCTTTTTATTACGTTGCCTTTTTCCTTCTTTTCAGGGGATAAAGTTTTCTTTGGTGATCCACCAAGGGATTGTCGACTTCCTGGGGATCCGATTTTTCTTTTCTAGGATGGAGTCCTGGCTCCTTGATTAATGTTGATGCGAGCTGACCTTGTGAAACTCTTATTCTACTGGGGGATGGAGATTTCCTATTCTTCCTTTTTGTAGTTTTTTCTGGTATGGTCCACTAGGGGATTTTATTCGGTCTTCTTTGTCATGGCCTTTTTTGTCATCTGCTGGAGATGACGGGTTTTCTTTTCTGTTCTTTCTTTTTGCTGAGCCCTTGATGGTTGTAGACCCCAAATCTTGCCCGACCTCCAAATAAAGAGTAGAAGACTTCCTATTAGAAGATGGACGAAGCCTAACAAGCCACTAGGAGAGACTATTAGCCCCATACTAGGATAGGAAGGATTTTTGGCACAAAAATAAGGTTTCTCGCCTTTTGGGCACGAGACCGCCGTCTCGCCTCATGCAAATGGCGAGACCGCCGTCTCGCCAAACGAGACGGCGGTCACGCCACCTGCGAATGGCGAGACGGCGGTCTCGCTTTCCCAGACGGCGGTCTCGCCACCTGCGAAGGACGAGACGACGGTCTCGTTTGGCGAGACGGCGGTCTCGTTTGGCGAGACGGCGGTCTCGACCTTGTCAGACGAGAACGGCGGTCTCGCCACTGTCAGGCGTGAAAACCTATAAATAGGGGCTCCCTCCCCTCATTTCCACACACCACACAACATTCTCTCCTCCTTCTCTCTAGGATTTCTCTCTCTAGAATCCCTCCGACGCATTTCCGGAGCTTCTGAGTGTCTTTAGAGTAATTTCTGAGCGTTTCGAGAGGTTTCCGACGCTTTAGAGTGAAGGGTTGCCACAAAGCACCTTTTTATTTTTAAGAGAATTAATAGAAGAAGCGTGCTTCGGAGGTTTACATTCTCCCTTTCCACTTTTACCGCTTTATTTAAATTATGCAATAGATAGGGCCATGTACTCATAATATTTTAATTCCGCAAATAAAAGGGCAAAAGCGTGTTTTTCTGGTTTATTTATTAACAAAATAGTTGGTCTGTCATAGGGAACCCGAAAGGGGCGTCGTAAAGG